TTCTATCTACTTGTAGAGTTATTAACAGCAGTGTAGAAATTGAGGGTTTGAAGAAAGAATATGGAGATTGAGTTGGCAGCGGGACATCCAAACTGAGACATTAGAGATTCAAGACTGAGCCCAGGGGAAATGTACATTGGGGAAATGACAGTGAAGAGATGGTAGTGGAAGCCATGGAAGTGGATGAGGTCACCTGCTTATAACAGAGAGAGGGAAAAGAGGAGCAGACAAAAGACAGAGCCTTGAAAGATACTAACAAGAGCTGGAATGGAGAGGAGGAGCGACTTCCAAAAGGAATGTGAAGGAGCTACTGAAGAGGTAGGAGGAAATTGAGTTGATGATAACCCACTTTAGCCTTTCCATAGCCAACTTTTTAAGGTGGGTAACATTGTTCTCTTGCGTGTAGGGAAACCAAGGCGCAGAAAAGTTAAGTGACTTGTCCAAAGCCACTGTTAAAGCTGGGAATAGAACCCATGTCTCCTGACTCCCATCCTCTTCCTCCATTTCCTGGTCCATGCAAGCAGTGTATGCCAAGTTGAGGGAGAATGTGAGAATGAATGTAAGAAATGGCTTTTGTACTGGAGAACTAATTGCCTGATTATAAACTTCGGTGTAATCTGTTAGTAAATTCTAGTGTAATGTGCTACTGTTTGATATAACATTTTCTGCTGGAGAGGTTTCACTGTGTCAATTTGGTTAAGAAGTGCCTTGATTCTTTGCAGTCCTTCTGCAGCTAGGAAGCTTGTGGATGAAGGGATAAAGACATTGGAAGGTGAGTGTACCATAAACCTTGCTGATTTCAGAGCCTTTGATTGGAAGAATGTGAAAAGGTTATGACTCAAGTTGTGAAAAACTGCTCACTGCGTAAATGACAGCAGTTATACAATTAAGGATAGGCATTCAGCATTCCAAAGCTGAGTCAGTGCAGGGAAGAAAGGCACCAGATAAATTTTCAGATGGGGATTCTCCCAAAATATGGGGAAAGGGAAAGTGACTCGGTTTGAAGAAACAGGCTTTTTCAATTGTTTCTTCTAGTGCTGCAAACTCTGAAGTGCATGGCTTTGGTAGTACCTGTGTGCTTATGTTGCATAAGTTTGATTCCACTGACACTGCATCCATCCCTTTCTTTTCGTTCAGCACCTAAGAGCTGGATGTATGCTAGATTCATACATTCTAAGGTAAAAAGGGACCACTGTGATCATCTCATCTGATTACCTACATAGCACAGGCTATAGAACTTTTCTGAAATAAATCCAGTTTGAACTAGAGCATGTTACATAGAAAAACATCCGGTCATGATTTAAAAATTGCCAGTGATGGAGAATCAACCTCAACCCTTGATAAACAGTTGAAATGGTTAATGATCTTCACTGTTAAGAACATGTAAGCTACCATATGTATTAAGTATCAGGGGGTAGCCGTGTTAGTCTGTATCTACAAAAACAACAAGGAGTCTGGTGGCACCTTAAAAACTAACAGATTTATTTGGGCATAAGCTTTCGTGGGTAAAAACCTCACTTCTTCAGATGCATAGAGTGAAAGTTACAGATGCAGGCATTATATACTGACACATGAAGAGCAGGGAGTTTCTTTGCAAATGGAGAACCAGTATTGATAGGGCCAATTCAATTAGGGTGGATGTAGTCCACTCCCAATAATAGATGAGGAGGTGTCAATTCCAGGAGAGGAAAAGCTGCTTCTGTAATGAGCCAGCCACTCCCAGTCCCTATTCAAGCCCAGATTAATGGTGTTAAATTTGCAAATGAATTTTAGTTCTGCTGTTTCTCTTTGAAGTCTGTTTCTGAAGGTTTTTTTGAAGAAAAAAAATGTATGGATGTAGTCCACTCCTCATCTATTATTGGGAGTGGACTACATCCATACTAATTGAATTGGCCCTATCAATACTGGTTCTCCATTTGCAAAGAAACTCCCTGCTCTTCATGTGTCAGTATATAATGCCTGCATCTGTAACTTTCACTCTATGCATCTGAAGAAGTGAGGTTTTTACCCACGAAAGCTTATGCCCAAATAAATCTGTTAGTTTTTAAGGTGCCACCAGACTCCTTGTTGTTTTCATATTC